CACCCTCACTGCGTCCTTCATTGTGGCCCACATGTTTCGCAGATACGATTCCATAAAGGGGAATGCAACTTCAATCACGGCCGTCCAGAAGGCCAAATGATGAAGGGTCAGGATTTGTTGGTTTGGGGTTAGTGTGATGACGTCCGAGATGCTGATGGTCAAGAGATCAGGCGCTGGCTGCTTGTTCTCAATTATAGCGGTTACTGCGAATTTTACAAGCATATGTATTCTTTATAATGGTTGCATTGGCTATACTTGCAATATCAGATTATTATAAATGAGGTGAAATATCATTAAAGGCCTTTGATAGAAGGCATCCTTTTATGGAAAGACGGTTGCTCGAGCTCCAGCCCTGTATATTACCCGCTTAATAAGAAATAAAGTTTCTGAGTATTTCTTTTCCCTCTAAAAATGGACGAGTATAATGTAATACTCCTCCGGTCTTTAATATAAGGTCCAATCTTGAGTTAGTTTTGATCCTAAATATAAGATTCATTCCTCATATCTATCAATTTTTTCTAAATTACCCCTATGGATACTCCTTCAACCATAATTAAGTATAAGAGAAAGGAAGGGTATTAAGAAAGATAACTATGGTATTTTAGGAAAAATATATTACTTTTCTTATAATTAACTAACTTACCTAACTTCCTTAATCTAATCAAATTAGTTAAATGGATCTTATATTAAGGACAGGAAGAGTACATATTTGACAAGGGATTGAGTGATTAATACGAACGAGAGATTTGAGGCTTGGAAGACAAAATAATATTGCAGTTTCAAAACCAGCTTCAATTTCCTATTCTTGAATGAATGAGTACACGGTTATTTACTTATTTGAACCAGTAGCCAATAAAGGGGACTTCAGAAATAAAAAAGAAGTTATAATAACTTATAAGTATACTTACGACGTAGTACCCTTTCATCCCACCTTTTAACAATTTCCAGCTCACAACATCCAGAGGAGCAGAAGTAACCGAAAAACATCAGCACAAGCTTCTCACACTTGACATTTACGAGGAGCTTGCTTGTATATGGAATCTATCAAGACTTGTAACTAATCTCGTAGCGGAAAAGCTAGTATGCAACAATCATTCCATTGAAGACCATGTAATGTTTCTAAGCAGTCTGTACTTTTCCCTGAGACTGGTCGTTAGACTTGGAGATCCCTTCTTTCCATCCCTTCTGACGAGCCCTCAGTTCCCACAACACTGTCAACTTCTTTTGTGCCGCTAATGCTGCCTCAGCTTTCTCCCTGGCATCCTCGCATGTCTCCATCCCTGAATTACACTTGTCTGCTTCTTTTTGATATTGAGATGTAATTTTCTTAGCCTCAAGCAGAGCCATGTCAGCACGTCGGTGACTTTCCAGAGCTTCAGTTTCTCGTAATTTTAGCTCTTCTGACAATAACTCCGCAAAGTTCTTTTCCGTGTCTCCACTCACCTCTGGATCATGCTTTGCACAATCTGAACATTTCCAATCACGCAAAAACAGGAAACAGTACTTGGTAAAGGGAGTTGGATCAAGAGAATACCAATAAAGCCAAAATGAGAAATGCTCGATCTTTTGTGTCAAATTTCAGGAGACTGTAATCAGTAAATTTCTAAAGTCTAAAATTTCTGTATATTATGTGCATTAGGACAAACTCACTGTGAAGCAATGTGTAATCTGAGCAAGTCTAATTCAACTTCTAAATGATACAGAAATCCTTGCTGGTCTGATACCTTCATTCCCCCCCCCCCCACATTAGATGATTTACGTCTCACAGAGAAACTTTTGGGTCAGTCGTTTAGCACCAAAATATTGTTTAGCTTGTTACATGAGTACCTGATTGACAGACAGAGCTACTGGGCTACAGGCACTGTGTGATCAACAAATGAAGCATGATTATTTGTAGCTATGTTTTAAAAGGAAAACCATCAGTAAAAATGGGAGATTTATGATCCTAAAAGATGGTCCAAGCCCAGCTGGAGAAGAACTAGCACACCATCTTACACCATAAAGTTAGAGGAACTATGTTACTTGTGCTCCTTCCATCATGCATGGGTGAGTCAAACAGAAAAGTTTCAACAGTACCGATTGAGTTGTTTATGCACATTGTACACTGTATCAGTTTGAGAAACTTAAGTGGAGTTTATAAAGGAAAAAGAAACCAACCTCCAAATGAAGCATTGCTAAGCCCTGCACAATTAACAGACAACGAGAAAGAAATAAGTACAAGTTCAATTAGCAGCATTACAGCATACCACAACTTGCATTAATAGCCAAAAAAAAAAAAGGAAGCTATAATTTAAGGTGTCATTGATTTGCAATTATAATTATTGAGAAGCAACGAATCAGAAATGAAAATTGATAGGTCAGGGATTTTAGGTTAATATTTCAAAGTAATCACAATTGGGAAAGTAACTGGTTGGTAATCGTTTTGGACACAAAAATGTTTCTCGGCACTTCATTAAGTATTTTCTCTTTCATTAATATCATAGTTCTAAGCTATGCCAACCAGTCTCCTCAAACTATTCGCGTGAAGTATGAAACTTTGAACAGATCAAATCTCACTGAAAAAGGCCGTATTTTTCTGATCCGTATAACATAGAGAAGCGAGCAGTTAGCAAAGTCATCAGCATACTCTTCAAATACTAAATAGATTCTTCTGGATACAGCCTTACTTTTTGGCCCAAAAAAAAAAAAGACACCAGCCTTACACTCTTGCATGATGACACATGATTGAAACCGTTGCGCACTTGACAGCTTTTCGCTTAACTCATAAATTCTTTAAGTGCTGGATATTGCATATTCAAACGGGGATGTTAAATTACAGTGGCTACATTGCCGATTATGCATGACTAAGCTTGCAGAAGACAAGGGTACATATAACAGATTTTCCCCCACGATTACTCATACTCTGTCAAGGATTACATGACGGGACCCGTGGCGCAGTGGGGATGAGCATTAGGTTATCACTTAAAGAAGTGAGACAGACGGCATTAGACAGCATAAGTTTAAGCTAAAGAGAGGCACGATAGTTCGGAAGACCCAAAAATGATTATTTCAATTGTAGTCCCAAAGTGAAAGTTTAAACTGGTCGTGCAACTAGATCTGCCCAAGTCAAAGGAATCTCGATCAATTGAAGCACGCATCCAAATAAGGAGACTTTATGCCCATAATTATATAGAAGTCCCTTAACGCTAGATCTCATAAATTTTATTTTTTAACACTCCTGAATTCGATCAAAACAGCACAGAATTGAATTACCAATGTGTGCCCTAATGTATGACTGAGATCTTCAATCTGCCCCATGATGGTTTATCCAGCAGACAAGAAAGTTACGAGAGCATATACATAATCAGGAAACGTAACTTTATGTAAACTCAAACTGTCGAGAGATAGTTAACAAGGCTAGGATTCAAAATTAACTCCAGCAAGACACAGAACCCCATATCGACAAGAGATCTGACCAGATCCAGAACCAAGAAAGCAAGGATAATATACCATGGAATAAAATTACCTTGGGGTATGGAGAGGGCGGGTTCAGAGGAGCAATCGCAGACGCAGGGCGCACAAGTGGAAGAGGAGTGCTTCAGTGCAGCAACACCTTCCATGAAATGCCAGTACAGAGGAGGACCCAGAATGTAGCCGGCGATGCAAAGCGCCACCACCCCTAAACCCATCTTCAACAGAACTGGACTACAAGATACCCGTGATTGATTCATAGCCATCTATCTGATTCACACACTCCCCTCCTCTTTGAGATGGGAAAAAAATACAAAGAAGAAAATAATAGTTCGGAGTGTGAAAATTGAACTGAAATCGATGCTATTGCAGGGAGCCGCGTGCAGTTTTCACCACCCCAGAAGCTACTTGCCTCCCCTTCGTTTGCTTCCCCCACGATCTCCCTCAATTTATGTCCATCTCTGACTCTAGCCCACTAGTTAATCTATTATTTATTTATACGAAGAGAGACACGCAGTGGAATTGACCCCGTCTCCGACTTGGGTCTCACTTTCCAGCCAACAATTTCAATCTCTGTTACAAATGCAATTAATACGGTGACTTTTATATTTATCTCGTACGTCATAGTTCATCATGACTTCGTTGACTAAACTAATTGATAGGTAATTATCCGTAAATTTTATTCTATAATTTCCTGAGATTTATCAACAATTCATGATAAAAAAAAATTTGCGTAAATCAACAATGAAGGAAACAATTGTAATACTTTAAAAAGAAAAAAAAATAAAGACAACTAATCTTGAATTCGCTGTTGACGTAGCGGTTTTTTTAATAAATACTTTGCATTGGAACCTTTTTTCCAAATTCTACCCATATCTATGAGCATTTGAATATTAAGCTTTGGTATAGGTTAAAAATATGCGCTCTCATGAGTTTCTTTAGTAGCGACAAATGATTCAAGACAATGAGAGAGTAATAGCAGGAAAATGTCATCTTTTTAAACAGGTCTTATTATTCTTATTTATCGAACTCACAAGACCCACATTAGTTTCATGAGCTAAGCATATCAAGCATAGTGACGGTAGGAGAGAGATCACAGGAAAAGATCACACTTCCATAGAAAATATACTGCTAAGCTAGTTTGAATTTTATTTTTATTCTAAATATAAAATCTCAATCTATTTTGTCTCTTATATTTTCTATTTTTTTTATAGTAATCCTTATAATAATAATAGTTTTAATTAATACACTTTATTAATAAAAATATTTTAATAAAGATAACATCTATTTATTATAAGTAACTAACTTAATTAATCTTTTTAATCTATTCAAATTAGTCAACTAATTTTTAATTACCAGGTAGTATATATCTATTGATTTGAATTAAAAGATGCAACATATTGCTGACCGAGAGACAATGTCATTTGTGTTAGTTTTGATTTTGGGACATAATGTTATGATTTTTTACCTTTTTCTAACTGGATGCTGAATCACACACACACACTCGTTGACGCAAACTTTGAAAAACAAAAATACGCATTGGGCAAATATTGCATGAATTTTCCCGAGTTATTTATAATACATTAAGAATTGTCTCCCCATCCCCCCGGGACACGTTCGGGTATAGTGATTTCAAAACACTTGATATGCAATGAGGAAGCAGGATAGAAGAGAACGTTAATGGAGCAGGACATCAAGTGATGGTGGCAATGCTAGTTCTAGAACAGTGCACGAAGAGAAAAGCCAGAACTGCTGACTTGAAAATCGTCGACATGGGAATCCCATATTGTGCCCTCCCAAACAGCCCTTTCAAGAAAGGCCACAAGCAAACCACCAAGTACACACTGCATAACGCCTCCCCAACCCCACTCCCACTCCCACCCCCGCTCCCGCTCTTCTCTGCTGCTGGACCCAGCCTCCATAATTTCATCACCAGACCACTGAGTTGAACCACTAACATAGTGGTTCCTGGAACAAACATTGCAGACTCGTCAAAGATGAATCTTCCAGCGTTTGTATCAGAACCAGAACAAGCTGGTGCCTCCTTCTGTGTTATATCAAACACTGTTTCAGAAGCCCTCAACATCTCAACTATAGCACTTAGAGAACCCACAAACCAAGGACCCAAGGCCATTATTCTTCTCATTCTCTGATTGTTCCACCATGCTCGGACTGATAACCCGATTGCCAAGTATTCTATTAGACTGTAGATGTTGTATATCACGAAAACTGACACAAAAATCCATAGCCAAGGTTCCTGAAAATTCCATATGAATCTCCTTAATTATTCCTTGAAATTGAGGGATACTGAAATGTTTGGTAGTTAGTGTTGAAAAACTGACCTTGGGTAAGAAAGTGGAGTTGGTTATCAGGCAATATGCAGGCAAAGCAGCATAGGTTGTTTCAGGGAAGGCATATAAGCCCCAGTGGATGAGCCATAGATAGGCCAGACACTGTCTGAAATGCAGCTCACCGAAGAGGAAGCCCAAATAGGGGCTTTGGGGACCCAACAAGACTCTAAGCAGGCCAGAAGCCCATCTCTTTTGTTGGATCATTGCGGATGTAAAACCTCCAGGGGCCCGGCCTATGAAAGCAATTGGGTCGGGCGTGCAACACTCTGACCTCCAACCTCTACTATGAATGCTCAATCCAAGTTGTTGATCCTCGGCCACTGATCCATATAGCCATCCAACCTAAACTTCCATATAATAATTTAATAAAAATAGTAATAAACCAAGATAGCGTATATGATTATGCCGAGATGGAAAGCTTCTTAAGTAGGCTAGCTTTGATGTGAAATTGATTGAATTGATGCTGACCTGTTCCCCCCAGGCTGCGCCATATTCATATTCACAACTAGAAACATAAATAGCAGCCTCCAAGCACGTAGAAGGAGAAATAATATTACTGCTACTAAAATGTGTCTTGTCTTTCCAGGCTTGAGCTGCTAGTTTAATAAATTCAGTCGAAGTTCCAAATTTTGGTTCCAGTTCCTCGTCTGACAATTCCTCTACAAAAGATGCCAAATGATAAGCATTATGAAGTTTCTTGGTTAGAAGCCTGTAGGGAACAAATAATTACGATCTTCTGCAAACCTGATGAAGATATATAGTGAATCTGTAAGTGGTGTGTGTGTGTGTGTGTGTGTACAAGAGTTCAAATCAGACCTTGATTTTCATGCGGAGTGTGATCAGGGTAACGCCCGTAAATAACTTTTCTTCTATGGAAGCATCCGCTTCCGCAGTAAAAGGGTCCCTGAAGGCCTGCATATCCAACTAATATGTACTGCACTTCACAAAACAAGAAACAATACAGGTCCACTTAAAATAACTTATAAGCAGTTTTTCAATTATGATTTATGAAATATAGGATAAATATGTGAGATAAGTTTTATCTTGGCTTACATGCTTATATGAAACGTGCTCATATAATTGCCAACCCAAAGGAGCCCTAAGCTTTCTATAAGCCTCTTCAGTTCTTAAACTTGCTCATTTTAACCGGCAATAGTGCATGCCTCTAAAAAGACAGAAATTAAGGGGGGTTTGTTTCTTTAATGAAAGAGTGCAGTTGAATTTAAACTCACCGAAGAAGCGGCAGCCCACTGGTTTCCAAAAGGATCATCTTTTAAGCCATCATCAAATTGCTGAAAACATTGGACAAATGCGACTTCTTTGTGGCCCTTGGGATCCAAGAATATGCACATGGCGTGCTGAACAATCTGTGGATTGTTCACCATCATGTCACAGTCTACGTTCAGCATGTAGGGAGCATTGCTTATCAACCCTGACACTCTCGTCTACACATTATAATAGTTTATCATCAGGAGAAACCCAAGTTTGAGGATGTTTTATAAGACAAAACAAAAAGGCCGAGGTATTAAAAGACCAAAGAAAAGATGTTACCAAAACATTCAAGGCACCAGCTTTGTGATGATGAGGATGCTGTGGTCTCTTCTCTCTTGATACGTAGATTAAGCTGGGCAATCCATCAGATTGGCCTTCCCTTCTCTCCCATATAACCTACCGATCGATTCATAAATAAAATGGAAAGAGCAGAGAAAATGATTCATGTATATTAGATGCTTTACTCGATGATACAAGTTTAGATACTTTAATTATGGCTCCGTGATTTCTCCGCTCTGCGTTCATGAAAGCTGCATACTCTCCCTCAAACTTAATCTGCTCTGGTTTCCTGCTCACATCTTCAATTTTACGGGTAGTTTTTCATACTCTTTCTGCAAAACCGAACACAAGAAACCATTATTCAATACTTTTCCAACACTTAATTGACTCAAATTATGGGATTGTTCAAGTACGATCGATCATCAGTAAGCAATTCTGTGCAATCATACAGAGAGAGTGATAGAGACCTGATGTTCACCGCCCTGTGTTTCTGTTTAACATCATTTTAGCACCCTACCTTCATTTGTAAAAAATCTTGTGTGAATTCTGGAGAGTGTTGCTGGCTATTGGCACCAGTGGGCTCATCAGAAAAGAACTTAAGAGGAGCCCTGAGTTGGACATTGTATTTCTTACAGAAAGGTACCCACAGCTTAGCAAATCGGGCGGCTTCGGCAAGTGCAAAGAATGTAACAGTGGAACACCCATCATCGGAAACGTAACAAGCTAGCTTGTGAGATGGGTAATCAAGTGCCAACAGAGACACACACTGTGTTCGCCGTGATGATGGGTGGCTCCAGCACTGGGTCCGCCGTTGTCGCCAACAGGTCCACCGCCGGCAGATCCTCCCTGGGTACGCTATTCACAGGAGAAGAACTTGACAAATAGAAAACAAGAATCAGCTAAATGAAGTGAGCGAGCTAATCCATGTATACCGTTGAGAGAGGGAGTGGAGGAACGTATTGACGCGTGCAGGAGTCCATTTGGTGCTCAGGATAATAAACCAGGTGAAGGTGAACCATGATTCGCATAGGAAGGCGAGAAAGCAAGGGGAGAGTGAAGTAGGTGGAGAAGGCGATAAGCCTGTGAGCAAGAAGCAAGAGAAGGAGAAGGAAGATGAAGCTATCCATAACTCTCTGAAACCTGCGTTTCAGCCAAATCTTTTCATACAGTTGGACGTCTTCCATTGAATCTTATTCTGCAATGGTTTCGCAAATCTTACAATTGTCGTATGCCCAAATGGGTATACTCGCAGCTCACTAATGGAGAGTAGACAGAAATCAGAGTAGTGAAATTTGCCAAATTTCAAGTTAAAATGGGGAAGTCTGGAAGACGCTTCGGTATCTAATTCCGGGTCGGAATTTGGTTACATGATAAGGCATAAAAGAGGTTTACTGTTTGCGAAATTTGAGGTAAATTGTGGTGGTATATTTTTAATTGTACCATTTTATTTTATAGACATTGGAATATTTTATTCCTTCGTCAACTTTCTGTCACGCGTCTTTATCAATAAAAAAGCAGACAAATGTATTTAAGTATTCAAAGATAATACTCAGGCGATTACAATGTGCTATTGCCCGGAGAAAAAGACAGATAATAAGGAAAATAAAGCTTTCATCCATAGAATAAAAAGAATTGAATATCAATCCTCTTTTGAGTAATCCATTCCATCTTGAATGTTTTTGAATCAGCAGTAACTGTAACATTAAGAGAAGGTTTCAAAGTCTTAGTGATTAACAGAAGATAATAGCAGCCAGAGTTGATAATACAAGAACTTTTCTGGGACTCATTCACAAGGAATTCATTGGTGATTTCCAAATCATTAACACTTGGCTGTTTTAGAGGATCCGGTGTATCAAAATAGAATCTGACCACGATCCATGAATGAGTGTTTTAGTGACAATCTTTTCAGTGATCCTAGATCTGATATTCAAAGTTAAGAGTCATAACGTGGCTCGTTGTCCCTTGAGGATCATCATCTTCTTGGAATAAAGATTCAAAATCAGTTTCTTTATCTTTAAAGAAAGGAAGAACATATTGTGTTTTTTTATCCTGAGTATCTTGTTCTTCGATGACAGATTCAATATTTTCATCTCCATTGATCATTAAAACAATCTGGAAGTGTTAGAAAAGGTTAGTCATTGACTATAAACCTCTCAATATTTTCCTCCAAGACGACAAATTCCTTTTACCAAAGCCGAGTTCACTTACAGTTCATCTTAGACATGCAAAAATCTTTTCCAGTTTGATCTTAAAGCTGGTTTTTGGCAATTGGGTATCCACTCAGAAGATCAACCCACAAAGCATTACTATAGAAAGTATAGGTAATATCAACTAGAGCAACTTTAGCAGTGGGTGGAAATCCTTTTCTCCCATGGAGTGTAATAATAAGGTATACAGCACCTATATAGAGATGGGTATAACCTTGAGCTATCCATTCATTAATCAAAGGTTGAAGTATGTCAATAGTGACATAATGTTCAGAGGAAGAGGCAGGAAAACCACAGTTTTGGGGAGCTATCCTTATTGAAGAAATAAATGGAAAGAGATTCTACTGTGGATATGCAAGCAGACAATTCAAGGAGCTAGAAAAGCATTATCATGCTAACTACAAGGAGATCCTTGCTAACCAGATTCTACAGTTGAAAATCTTTTTGATGAAGAACCATTTGTCCTTCATACGTCTAAGCCTAGAAGGACAGACTACAAACCTACTATGGGTCTATGGTTCACTTTTGATGACCTTCCTCCAGAACAATAGAGAGACAGACTTCATAAATTTGACGCATGGATTGACTTGCAGCTTGCTAGGTATGATACAAATCTTGAGAGTCATCACTGGCATTAGTTTGGAGGATCCGTAGTCCTTTGTCAGGGATCTTTAAAGAAAGTGGTTGCTGTGCAATTCTTTTGAGAGTTTTGACAGCTGAGATCTGCTCTGTCCCCCACTGAGAAGTTTGGATAGCTTGCTGGTGTGATTAGACATATGAGGGATAAAATCCCTAAGATAATTAATAATCCCTAAAAATTGTTGAATAGTCCTTACCACCATACTAATCGTGTCACTAAAAACGTTAGAAGTCTGATCTCCACCCAAAGACCTCATGTCAAAGAAATTGTTCAGTCTACTAATTTAGAAAACTGTGGTCTTCCTACCTCTTCCTCTAAACAATATCATTATTGACATACTTCAACTTTGATTAATGAATGGATAGCTTAAGGTTATACTGGGGGGCAATAAAATACACTTAAAAATTAAAACAGTCACAACCCAAAAAAAAGGACAAATTTTCAGAAAATTTCAATCATTAAAATCTCATTTCATAAATTGAATAAAATGACCATATTGCCTCTCTTTGAGGGCAAGAAAAAAAAAACAGCCTCGCCCATCAGCAGGGCTGCCACCAATGGCGGCTAGGCAATTTGCGACAGAGGTCAATAAATGCAGGCTTTGATCCCATCATTTTAGTTTCTAAAAAATATATAACCTCACCAAAATATATACTCCTCCGGTCTTAAATATAAGACCTTTAGTATAATGGTCTTATATTTAAGACCAGAGGAGTATAAAACTATTAAGTCGCTAAAATTTTTCAATAAAATAGCACAAAATAGTATAAAAGATAATTGCAAACTTTGACCATAACCATAGGTTAGGTATGAAGCACAATATAATAGCTACTGAGCATAACATATTAAGTTATTAACACTATTAATTACTATAATTATAAAAGTTAGTTGATTAATTTGAGAAAATTAAGAAAATAAGTTAAGTTAGTTATTTGTAATAAATAGGTGTTATCTTTTCTCAAATATCCTTGCTAATCCAGTATATTGGCTAGAACTGTCATTATTAAAAGGATTACTTTAGAAAAATGTATAAATATTAGAGATAAAGTAGATTAAGATCTTATATTTCTGACCAAAATAATCGTTAAGGAAATTTTTGCCAATAAGATATTTTCAATAAAATTATTAAAAAGACATTTTTAAAAAAATAACGCAAATTTTTTTATAGATAACTAGTTTAAATAATTTTTTAGATTTTGATGAACTTGTAATAAAATTTTAAACCTATTGGTAAAAAGAGCAACTAATGGGGGGGTTGTGATATGGTCAATAGCTATTGGATTGAAAAATATCTTATTGACAAAAATTTTCCTTTAATATGTGTCATAATAAGGATAGTTCAAGAAAAAAAATTATAAACTTAAAAGAAAAGGTATGTTAAATTTTATGCTTAGTACTAGAGGGAATGCGTACAAATATCTTGGGATCACGGGACAGTGCCGCTTTCTAGCCAAAAAGACGAAGCAAATCTGAATATTTTAAATTTTCCTTCTCAGTGCTTCTTACCATGTCATTATATATATTTTTTTTTCTTTGTTGTGTGAAAACGGTGTGATCATTTTATTAACTAGTCATTCTATCTAACATATGCAACAAGTGTGCTTAGTCTTCGATTAGCAATAAGCATTTCCATGTAAATGTTGTGCGATCAATAGACTTAGGATTACATTATATATTTTCCGGGATTGGATCCAAGAACCACTCTTTTTTTCTGTCATTATTATGAACCTCATCAAATTTACATCATATCTACATATGACACAAATTTATTAGTTGAATTAGGAGTATTTACTATTTACATAAATGCAAATTTATAACTGACGAGATATTTAATACTATTAGCTAAAGTATACATCTGGTCCTTTAACTTTGTACAATGTTTCAATTTGATCCATTAACTTTAAAAAACATATATTTAGTCCTTTAACCCTAAAATCATTAGGTTTTAATGATGATTTTTGGTAACAATCATGGATGTTTTGAAAATTAAACTTAATATGTTAGTATTTAAGAATATTTTATCAACATTTAAGATTTTAATATTATCATTTTTGGAAAAAAATTTTAGAGTTAAAAAACTAATAATTTAATTTCTAGCCTGATTATTCAATTAAAAATCAGCTGATTCAATATATTAAATTTAAATTTATCAAAATTAATTTGATCTTTCAAATTATAAATTCTTATTGTTTTCAGAATCATTGTTAATCCGAATTCCGAACGAATCCTTGGTTAAGACATTTTCTATTTAAACGACTCGCCATTTCCATCTCTTGATATCTTTTGGGGTTATGCCTAGAAGCTCCCACCCCCAGTGGCTGGCCATCGATTGCCCCCATTCAAAATCCTGCACCCTGTGATTCTGTCCCCCACCGTATCAATCTTCATTACCAAACATACTCATTAAGATCCATAATGATTAAAATTCTATTACGTAGCATTGCCTTACATTGCACA